TAGTAGAGACGGGGTTTCACCATGTTGACCAGGATGGTCTCGATCTCTTGACCTCGTGATCCACCCGCCTCGGCCTCCCAAAGTGCTGGGATTACAGGCTTGAGCCACCGCGCCCGGCCTTTAAGAATTTTATCTCAAAAAAACCTGAGGATGTCAGCAAATATTTATTATGGGCAAATATAGAAAGTGAAAACAGGATGATAAACCCATTCAATTAAATAGGGTTTTGGGTTTTGCTGGGCATAGTGGCTCATGCCTGTAATCCCAGCACTTTGGGAGGTTGAGGTGGGCAGATCACCTGAGATCAGGGGTTCAAGACCAGCCTGGTCAACATGGCGAGACCCTGTATCTACCAAACATACAAAAATTAGCCAGGTGTGATGGCTTGCACCTGTAATCCCAGCTGCTCTCGAGGCTGAGGTATGAGAATCTCTTGAACCTGGGAGGCAAAAGTTGTAGTGAGCTGAGATCACACCACTGACTCTAGCCTAGGCCATAGAATGAGACTCCATCTCACAAAATAATAAAGAGCATAGGGTTTTATGATGGAAAATGTGCATGAATTTAGAAAGATGTCCATAACGTTCAGTCAAAAACAATGTTCCAAAATAGTACATACAATGTAACTCGACTGTAGAGATAAAAATTAGGCCGAAGAAAAACATGGAGTAATACAGACTCAGGTCAAGCTATGAACCATGATTACATACATTGATGAAATTTTGGAATGGCCTTACTTCCTTTCTCTTTATCTACATGTTTTATTGTTATTATTATTTTTTTGAGACAGAGTCTCACTGTGTCACCAGGTGCCAGGCTGGAGTGCAGTGGTGCAATCTTGACTCACTGCAACCTCCACCTCCTGGGTTCAAGCAATTCTCCTGCCTCAGCCTCCCGAGTAGCTGGGACTACGGGCGCGTGCCTCCATGCCCAGCTAATTTTTGTATTTTTTGGTAGAGACAGGGTCTCACCATGTTGGTCAGGCTGGTCTCGAACTCCTGGCGTCAAGTGATCCTCTTGCCTCAGTACTCCCAGAGTGCTGGGGTTACAGGCGTGAGCCACCGTGCCTAGCACCTGTGTTTTAAGTTCGAGACAGCTTTACAATAATAACTTTGCACAAGCTGTGTCACTGCTCAGAGACTTGAAGAACTCCTCTGTGGTGGTGGTAAAGGGATATAGCGGAGAATAAAAATGGATGCTGCGCCCTCTTGTGTCCACAGTTGAGCGTGCAAGGAGAACAAACACCTTGGAGGAACCATCCTTGCCTTTATGTGAGCAACTGTAGGGTCCTTTGCAGTCTGTTCATTCCCTTCCCAGACTCGAGATTTTTCTGCAATTTGAAAACTCAGATTATGAACAGGATTTTAATTTTTCTCCCTTTCCCATTTCTCATCACTCATTAAACTTTGCATAAAATATGTATTTTGCTGATAGGTGACCTGCTATCAGTTTAATTAAAGAGAATGCAGAAATTAGGGGAAAGTTACATAGACGGAATGAATTTGAGAAGCAATTGATACAGTGAAACTTTTTTTTTTTTGGAGACAGAGCCTCACTCTGCTGCCCACGCTTGAGTGCAGTGGTACGATCTTGGCTTATTGTGATCTCCAGCCTCCTAGGTTCAAGCCAATTCCTGTGCCTTGGCCTCCTGAGTAGCTGGAACCACAGGCACGTGCCACCACACCTGGCTAATTTTTGTATGTTTAGTAGAGACGGGGTTTCACTATGCGGGCCAGGCTGGTTTTCAGCCCCCGTCCTCCCAAAGTGTTGGGATTATAGGTGTGAGCCACCGCACCCGGCCAAAATTCTTACAAGTTTCTAAATTTTGGCTTGATAACAGCTATCACTGGAAATATCAGATAAAGGTTGCAATCCAGGTTCTTAATCATCAGGATTAAGAGAGACTGTCATCAAGAGACCCGAAAGCCATTGTCATGTTAGGAGTATACGTGAACTACCACTGAAGGATGAAAGGAATGTCTTTATGTCTGTCCCGATGTACAGGGAAGGCAAAGCTGGCTGATGAGAGAAGGTAGGGTAGGATTTTGTTTCTAATCATTGGAGTAACATTGGATGTTGGAACAGAAACACTCAAATCTCAGTTACTATAACACTGTTGACCAAAATGACGTGACAGAAAGGCCGGTGAAGGCCGTAAAGGCAAGTTGAAAGAAGGAAGGTTCAGGTGAGCAAGGCAGCTCACATCTGTAATTCCGGCACGTGGGTGGGTCGCTTGAGCCCAGGAGTTAGAAACCACCTTAGGCAACGTAGTGAAATCCCATCTCTACCAAAAAAACAAACCAAAAAACCAAAATTAACCGTGTGGTGGCATACGCCTATAGTCCCAGCTACGTGGGAGTCTGATGCAGGAGGATCACTTGAGCCTGGGAGTGGGAGGCTACAATGAACTGACATTGTGCCGCTGCACTCCAGCCTGGGTGACGGAGTGAGATCCTGTCTGCAAAGGAAAAACAAGCGATGGTTCAGAGGTGCATTTCTGAAATTCAGTACAGCCGGCATGGTGCAAGAGAAATAACCTAGACCTTACGGCTTCAGAGCCAACACACATGGGACATACACCTGACCCTTGATACTGATTAGTCTAAATTAGTCCGGAAACACCAACTCGATACGTTATTTGGAAAGTAGAAACAGGATGAATTGTAATGAGTTGTTGAGGTGAAATGTGCGGAGTCAGCCGTCGCACTCTCATCCCTGACTCCCGGTAGATACTTAGCAAATAAACGGTGTAAACGGTGGTGCTTTCGGATTCTGTACTGGGGAGATGCCACCCCTTCCAGCTTGGAATGTAATTGTCAGGCGTTCACACCTCACAGTGGCCTGCCACTCTAGGTTTCCAATTTGGTCACGTGTTTCCACGAACGGGATTTCAGACAGATTATGCTCCAGACAAAACTAAGTTAACCAGCCTGGTTATCTTGATATGTACGCCAGTCTTGGCCTGTGTGTTCAGGTGAACCTTTAGGCGTCATTCTGCCAATGAAGAGAGTCAAATTCTGTAGTATATTTAAAAAGATTTGGGCCGGGCGCGGTGGCTCAAGCCTGTAATCCCAGCAATTTGGGAGGCCGAGGCAGGTGGATCACGAGGTCAAGAGATCGAGACCAACCTAGTCAACATGGTGAAACCCCGTCTCTACTAAAAATACAAAAAATTAGCTGGGCATGGTGGTGCGTGCCTGTAATCCCAGCTACTCAGGAGGCTGAGGCAGGAGAATTGCCTGAACCCA